CCCACCCCCAGGTTCAACTCCCTGCACGGCCCTGACTAGCAGCCTTCTCTCGTCTTGAGCTATAAATAACGAAGCGTTGTGCCCTGAATCTATGTGAGCACCCATGAGTTCTGTCATGCCATCAAAAGAACTTTTAAACTTTATAAAACACCCTGAAGGACTGAGTAGATCCATTTTTTCATGCAAGAAGATGAAACACACAGGCTTCTTCCAGCCCCACAGCCATCTTGACTGATCTGACCACTTAGATGCATTGAAATCACTTTCTGGGACCAGCCAAGACCACAAAGTAAACGTTCAAACTCTTCACCTTAATCTCAACTCCTGGTTTCAGGAAATGAAGACTCTGTCTATTTCTGCTGTGCCAATTAACTCTCTTTCCACTCACCTCAGTAACCCAGCATAAAGCAGAGTTCCCATCATACAGCAGGTGCTCCATAAATGCATGTTGAATGAATATAACACAGGACCAAAAATGCATAGAAAAATACAGCCAGTTCATTCAGAAACCCAACACATATTTAATGGATGGCTATAAGCCTGATGTGCTGCAGCCCATGGGGTCGCAAAGAGATGGACACGACTGAGCAATTGAACAACAAATGATCCAATCATCTGGGTTTAAAAAGTGATGACATTGCATTTTATATTAAGGGACTGCTAGCAGTGTGCCTGCATTAATTAGTTCTCACTTAGGGGCATGCCATTTAATGATTTAGTTCTACACTTATCTGAGTGAAACATTCCTGGACCTCCCCAGGAGAGTTGATCACTCCTTTTTCTCTTATCTCCATGCATCTATCTACAGTATCACATCCACTGGCTGATCTTGGGCTCTCTAGGAGCCAGGATCATCTAGAATGCATCTTCCCAACTCCAATGTTTAGCCCAGTGTTACCCAGGACTTAGCAGGTATCCTTAGCAAATACCTTGCTTAGCAGGACTTAGCAAGTATTGAGTGAATAAATGAATAGCAAATGAATGAATACCTTTCCTACCAAGTGCTTTGCACTGTGTAAAAGCTGAAAAAAAGGTAATGGGAGAGGAGAGTTGACTAAAACAGCAGTTCTCAAATGTGAGTGGGCATCAGAACTCCCTGGAGGGCTTGTGAACACACAGAGTGCTGGGCTCCAAACCCACCCTCTGATCGGGTAGGTCTAGGGAAAGGCCTGAGCACATGCATCTATAACAAGCTCACAGGCGATGCTGATGCTGTAGAGGTGGGGACCACACCACGAGAACTAGTGGTCTGCAGAAAAAAACAATGTGACTCCCCTGACGTCAGGGAGCTCACTGCGACCATATGCAACACAGAGGAAACGAGCGAGAATGCAGAGATGTGGATAGTACAAGCTTTCTGCAAACCTGCCACAGACAGTGGGGCAGAGAGAGTCTGTCCAGGCTGACCTCATTAACCTGTTTCAAAGAGAAGGAAAAGGATCTTAAGAAGGTGAATGACTTGTCAGAGGTCGACTCAGGTACAAGGTACAAGAGAAATGTGTGCCTGTGAGCACCAAACAACATGTACCAAAATGTCCAATTTTTGATGCTTAATGATCCCAAAATGGACACATGTCCATCAACAGTAAAATGAATAAGTATACTGGGGTGTATATTCATGCAAAGGAAGATTATATATTATTTTTTTTAAAGAACAACTACAGCCATTTGCTACACCATTGATGAATCTCACAAATGCTGGTGAAAGAAGTTAGACACGAAAGAGCATGTTCTGTTAAAATCTGTTTATACCAACTTCAAAGAGAGGCAGAACAAATCTCTTTTGGAGGTCAGAACAGTTACTTTGGGGAATAAAGTAAGTGGGGGGACTTCAGGGGAGTTTCTGGAGGTGCTATTGATATTCTACTTGTTGACCCAGGTGGGGGCTGAGAGAGTATGCTTACTGATGTTTTCATACTTTTCTGCATATATATTATACTTCAAAATACAGAGGGGTTTTCTTCTTTTTTTTTGGTTTGTTTGTTTTTCAGTGGTTGAAAGGAAGAAAACAGACACTGAGCTGAATCTATCACAGTCCTTGTCCCGGGAGCTGACCCAGATACCCAACAAGAACAGACAGGAAGACGGTGGTGAGCTCTCCCAGGGGACAGAGAGGAACAGGGTCACTGCAGATGCTTACTTCAGGCCAATTTCACAGGCGCAACCCATGAAACTGTGAGATAAGCTGAAGAGTACAACACATATATTAATCTTTTACATGAGAATTATAGAGTTGGAACATACCTGGGAGATCATTAAAGTTCAGAAGAAGAACTTATAGAAAATTTTCTTAGAGCCTTCCCCGTGGACCATCTCAGTATTTAATCTCAGCTGGGAACTTGGCAGGGTGGGCCAGGCAGCTGTCTTTTTTGGCTGAACTCCCCACCCCTATAAAAATGTTTTTCCATTGGATCCTCTAACCTTTCTCAATCTTGAAGAAGACTTAATTATCAACTCAGAAGATGACAAATTCTTTTCCTAAACCCCATAGTTTGGATACCTATTCACAAACTGAGAAGGCTTCTGAGCAATCTGAAAGTATTGATACCAAATCCTTTCTTGGGAGATGACACCGTGTTTGTCCAAGACGTTTCTGTAAACCAAGCAGCCGAGCACCTCTGTAGGCATTGTAAACATCTGGCTAGTTCAGAAATACAGCCTCCTAACTGATCTATTACAGTAAATGGTCTAGACAGCGCGACTGGAACTCCTCGCTTTTTAATACTTCATAAACCTGTATCTAAGTGCAGGTGAAGTCAGTTGTAAATATAAAAACCACCAGAGCGGAATGGCCTTTGATTCTTTGTTTATCACAGGCTAATTAAAACACAAGCTGAACATAACTCAGTTCTTTAATGGAGGTTACCAGATGTGTTATTACTTGACCCTGCTCAGTATGAAGTCCTTGTATAATAACTATAATTTTTTTTATTTAGTGCAGCAGCCCTGTTATAGTTAAGGGTGTGTCTTTCTTTTGATTACAAGGCCCACATCTAAAGGAGGGGGAAGGAGGATGGTTAACTACTGAGAACACGTTCTCTGGGCATTGAAACTATGATTAATATAAGCCCTGTCCAGGAGTGAATTCTTGGCTGCCCTGCATGCTATGGTTATGCACTGTGCCGAAGACACATTTTCACTGGAAGTATAATTACTGACTTTTAAAAGTCACCTTTCATCCCAACAAACCCAGCTTTCTCTAAAGCATTAGAGAGCCATTACAAATTACAGTTAGAGTAATAGCTTCAGCCGCTCAGCCATCACTTAAGAAGCACTTCAGCTGCCTGGAGCAGGAAAGGTCAGCCCTGTAGGGCCACCCCTCCGCAGTCAGGAAGTCACGTGGAGCTCTTTCCTGAGGGGTGGCCCCGCTGAATCACCAGGCGCCCTGAGCACCTGGAATCAGACACATATTCCTACGTACAGGGCCCAGCAAGCACCCCAAACACCTGGGCACCCAAGATGCATCATTGACAGTGTTATCCGTGGAGCCAGGAGAGCCTAGATGAAATATCAACCACCACCTACAGGACGGGCAGGTGTGCTAAGTCGCTTCAGTCGTGTCCAACTCTGTGCGACCCTATGAACTGCAGCCTGTCAGGCCCCTCTGTCCATGGGATTCTCCAGGCAAGAATACTGGACTGGGTTGCCAAGCCCTCCTCCAGGGGATCTTCCCAACCCAAGGAAGGAACCCATGTCACTTACATCTCCTGCATTGGTAGGCAGATTCTTTATCACTAGCGCTACCTGGGAAGCTCCACCAAAAGGACGGCAGCTCTCAAAAGTCTTTTCTCCAATTGAGAACCCTTGCAAGACTCCCTTGAACCCCAGATAGACTCATCCCCATTGGTTATCTACTTGGCTGTCCCCTGGGCACTTTAAATACCAGCATTTCCAAAACAGGATTAATCATGTTCTCTGGAAAACTTGTCTTGGGTCCCACAACCCAGGAATGACACCACCCATCACTTATTTGCCAAATGCCCAAAGCTAGGCTTCATCTTTCAGCTCTCCCTGTTTCTCTTTGTCAACCCATTCCGAAGATCTGCCGATGCCACCTGTTCCCTTCTGATCCATACTTCTGTCATGATCTTCCAGTTCAGTTCAGATCATCATGGTATCTAGCCTTTACATCGAAGGTTCTCAGCCAGGAGCAACTTCACATTTCTCCCCCCTTCCCCCAACACACACACATACACCAGGGCACATCTAGCAATGTCTGGAGACATTTCTGGTTGTCACAGCTGAAGGCTGGGATGATGCTACTCACATTCAATGATTAGAGGCCAAGGATGCCGCTAAATATCATTACAATACACAGGGCAACCCACAGAGCAGAGAAGGAGTCTAAACTGTCAGTAGCACTGAGACTGACAAACTGCCTTAAAACATCTCCTTGCCAAGGTGCCAGTCATAAGACATAAGTCTTACTACGTAACTCTTCAAATATCATGGTTCCTGGAACAGGGTCCCTAAGGTCCTTCAGCCTTTGTCCCCAGCCTTCTCAGCCTCATCTGCAAACACTCTTCTCTACCTTCCCTGTAGCTGCCACGCTTCAAATGTCCACACCAGCTTCTTTCAGTTCCTTGAACTTCTGGGTCTCTGGACAACATTTTCTGCCCATGCCCACCAAGGAGTTCTCCTGTACTCAGCCTTCAGATTTTAATCTCACCCACTGTCCTACACAGGGGATGGACCTGTGCCCTCCCAAAGCACACAGATTTTTACCATCCTTTGCCTTGACTGTGTGTTGTCATTCAGCCTTGTGCATACTCCCCATGGGCAGGAACCTGGTCCGTCTTCCACTCTATCCTCTTTCTGCCTCTCAGTCAGGCACTCAATACATGCTCATGGAAATAATGACTAAATAGCATAATACTACAGTAAAACTGGTCTCTAGGGGAATTCAGACTGGAGCAACTCAGCTAAACAAAAACTTCTATCTTGCATAAATAATAATTTTCTATACTTAGACTCATTCATTAAATAAGTGTCTTGGACACTTAGGATTTTAAAGTCATCCACTGCAGCTTCTCATCTGATATCCATGTCCCCTCTACACAACTGCCCTGTGCACACACAAACACATGTGCACACTCACATGCACTCATGACCAAAGGCAACCAGGCTTGACTTGGACACATACAGTAAGAGCAGTCTGACTTCCTTGGAGACAGTTTAACATTTGAAAACACCCTTAGAAAGTATTTCTTCACAGATGGCCAATGGGCACATGGAAAGATGCTCAACACTGCTAATTATTAGAGAAATGAAATCAAAGCTACAATGAGGTACCGCTTCATGCCAGTCAGAATGGCCATCATTAAAAAGTCTACAAATAAATATTGGAGAGGATGTGGAGAAAAGGGAAGCCTCCTACACTGTTGATGGAAAATCTAAGTGCAGCCACTACGGAAAACAGTACAGAGATTCCTCAGAAAACTAAAAATAGAGCTGCCATATGATCTAGCATTCCTACACCTGGGCATATATCCAGGCAAAACTATAATTGAAAAAGATGCATGCACCCCTAGGTTCATAGCAGCACTATTCACAATAGCTGAAACATAGAAACAAGCTAAATATCCATTCATAGATGAATGGATAAAGAACATGTGGTACATATATATTAGACTGGCCAAAAAGTTCATTCGGGTTTTTGGGCTGTTACAGAAAAATCTTAACAAATATTTTGGTCTACACAATACAATGGAATACTACTCAGCTATAAAAAAAAAATGAAATAATGCCATTTGCAGCAACATGGAAGCACCTAGAAATTATCATACTAAGTGAATTATGTCAGAAAGAGAAAGACAAATACCGTATGATATCACTTAAATGTGGACTCTAAAATATGACACAAATGAACCTATCTATGAATCAGAAGTTGAATCAGGGACACAGAATTGACTGGTGATTGCTGGGGTGGGAGGTAGGAGAGAAATGGATTGGGAGTTTGGGATCAGCAAAGGCAAATTGGTATATACAGAATGGATAAACAAGCAGCTCCTACTGCACAGCACAGGAAACTATATTCAATATCTTGTGATAAACCATAATGGGCAATAATTTGAAAAAGAATGTATACATAAATGAGTCACTTTGCTCTACAGTAGTAATTAAAATAACATTGTAATTCAACTATAATTCGTTAACAATTTTTTAAATATTTAAAAATATTTATTTCTTCATACTAAGCCTTAGTATGTCTCGTCCACTTGTTAGGTTCAGTGCCTTTGGGTCCTACAGGACAAGGCAAACTCCTCCCCTTTATACCTGATAGAAGGACCATCAGCCTTCCCTAGTCTTCCTCCTACTATAACCTCTAGTTCAGTGTTTGTCTTACCGTCTGAACAAATTTCATTTGATGAAGTTCTATCTAAAAATGCCTTTGGAACTGTTGGTTAGCATCCCATAGCTAGTCAGCATCCCAAATCACTGTCAAATCTCTGGAAAGGAATGTCACAACATCCATCAGAATTTTAAATGCACATGCCATCTGGTCTGCGGCATTGCCCTTCTTTAGGATTGGAATGAAAACTGACCTTTTCCAGTCCTGTGGCCACTGTTGAGTTTTCCAAATTTGCTGACATATTGAGTGCAGCACTTTAACAGCATCATCTTTTAGGATTTGAAATCACTCAGCTGGAATTCCATCACCTCCACTAGCTTTGTTTGTAGTAATTCTTCCTAAGGCCCACTTGACTTTGCACTCCAGGATATCTGGCTCTAGGTGAGTGATCACACCATCATGGTTATCTGGGTCATTAAGACCTTTTTTGGGCAGCTCTTTCGTGTAATTCTGCCACTTCTTAATATCTTCTGCCTCTCCTAGGTCCATACCGTTTCTTTCCTTTATTGTGCCCATCTTTGCATGAAATATTTCCTTGGTATCTCTAATTTTCTTGAAGAGATCTCTAGTCTTTCCCATTCTGTTGTTTTCCTCTAGTTCTTTGCATTGTTCACTTAAGAAGGCTTTCTTATCTCTCCTTGTAATTCTTTGGAACTCTGCATTCAGATGGGTAAAACTACCACATAACTGCACTCATTTCACACGCTAGCAAGGTAATGCTCAAAATCCTTCAAGCCAGGCTTCAACAATACGGAAACCAAGAACTCCCAGATGTACAAGCTGGATTTAGAATAGGCAGAGGAACCAGAGGTCAAATTGTCAACATCTATTGGATCACAGAAAAAGCAAAGAAATTCCAGAAAAACATCTACTTTTGAACACTTGTGCCTTGCTGATAGGAATTTAAATCACTGAAGCCATTGTGAGAATGGCTTCTCAAAACATTAGTTTCTCAAAACATTAAAATAGAACAATCATATGATCCAGCAATTCTACTTCTGAGTATGTATGCAAAGGAAATGCACATATACTTGCAGACATATCTGTATCCCCATACTCATTGCACCATTGTTTGCAGTATCTGAGACAGGAAAAAAGCTGTGTCAATTGACAAACAAATGGATAAAGAAAATGTGATCAAGAAGATATGGTATACATATATGAAGGAATATTACTCAGCCATAAAAAACAAATGAAATTGGGTCACTGTCAGACATGTGACTGGACCTTGAGGGTGTCATACAGAGTGAAATAAGTCAGAAAGAGAAAAACAAGTATCATACATTAATAAGTATTTGTGAAATCCAGAAAAATGGTATAGATGATGCTATTTGCAAAGCAGAAATAGAAACACAGATGTAGAGAACAGATGTATAGACACCAAGGAGGAATGGGCTTCCCAGGTGGCAATGCAGGAGACATAAGAGACACAGGTTTGATCCCCGGGTTGGGAAGATCCCCTGGAGAAAGGAATGGCAACCCACTCCAGTATTCTTGCCTGGAGAATCCCCATGGACAGAGGAGCCTGGAGGGTTACAATCCATAGGGTCGCAAAGAGTCAAACATGACTGAAGAGATGTAGCATGCATACAGACTCTCACACCAAGGAGGAAGGTGGGTGGGAGGAATTCTGAAAGTGGGATTGACACATATTTACTATTGACACTATGTATAAAATAGATAACTAATGAGAACATATTATATAGCATAAGGGGTTCAACTCAATGCACTATGGTGACCTGAAATGGAAGGAAGTCCAAAAGGGAGGGAATGTACGTACACCTCTGGCTGATCCGTTTTGTCATACAGCAGAAACTAACACAGCACTGAAAAGCATCTATGCTGCATGGCCTCACCGACTCAGTGGGCGTGAGTCTGAGCGAACTCTGGGAGCTGGCGACGGCCAAGGAGGCATGGTGTGCTGCAGTCCATGGGGTCACAAAGAGTCAGACATGACTGAGTGACTGAACTGAACTGATTCTCCAATAAAAATTAATCATAAAAAAGAAAATGTGAGATATTAATATAAAATTATATACAGCGATAAAAAGAATGAAATGCTTCCATTTGTAATAACATGGATTGACTTTGATGGCATTATGCTAAATGAAATATCATACAGAGGAAAAACAAATGCTGTATAATCTCACTAAAATGTGAAATCTAACAAAATCAAACTCATAGAAACAGAATAGATTGGTTGTTGCCAGAGGCAGAGGGTGGAGGAGGGGGAAATGGGAGAAGGTGGTGAAAAGGTACAAACTTCCAGAATAAAGAAAAAAGAAGAAAATGGACCATCACTTAAACTTTAAATGAGTTAATGTTCAAAGTTGGACCATCAGACGTCTTTGTGCACAGGAGGAAAAAAAATGTATCAAATCCCAATCACTAGCAAAATTCCCAAGAGTTCCTTTATGGAGAGATCTGTTATGAACAATGCATATCTATCAGCACTGGTGGCCACTGAAGACACTTCAGGGTTTGAGGATGAGCATAGTTTCTGGCAGGAGGAGACGGGGACGACAGAGGATGAGATGGTGGGAGGGCATCACTCAATGCCATGAGTTTGAGCAAGCTCTGGGAGTAGGTGATGGACAGGGAAGCCTGGTGTGCGGCAGTCCAAGGGGTCACAAAGAGTCAGACGCAACTGAATGACTGAACTGAACTGAACTGATAGCTTATGAAATGTGTTAGGCTTATTGAACTTTTATCATGACTCAGGCTTTCCCATTGAGGAAGGTGGAAGGACAAAAAGGTAAGGTGGTAAAAAGACTTTGACCAAAGCAAATGCTGAGATGGTATTCTGAGAGGTGTCTTTTCTTTATCCTACATAAGCACTGTTTTAGTAGAGAACTGTTCTTTCTCATTTTGTGTATCATGACCATATACCAAAAAAATGACCACCACTTGTTGAGGGGATGGTTCATTTGTAGTCTCTACAATCTGAAACATCCTCATTCATTATTGTCCCCAAACCCTCAGTTTCCTTGTCTACATGGAGCTAATATTCCCACTTAAGTATATTGGGATACGTATGCTAAGTCACTTCAGTCATGTCCAACTCTTTGAGGCCCCATGGGCTGTAGCCAGCCAGGCTCCTCTGTCCATGGGATTCTCCAGGCAAGAATACTAGAGTGGGTTACCATTTCCTCCTCTGGGGGATTTTCCCAACCCAGAGATTGAACCCCTATCTCTTATGTCTCCTGTATTGGCAAGTGGGTTCTTTACCACTAGCAGCACCTGGGAAGCAACTTGGGGTATAAGTTAAATGAAAAATGATTATATGGAGACTATACAACATGTTACTAAAAACACCAGTGGGTCAACGATGAAATCAAAAAGGAAATCAGAAAATACCTCAGGACAAATGACAATGGAAACACAACCACATTAATCTATGGGATGCAGCAAAAGCAATCCCAAGAGGGAAGTTCATAGTAGTACAGGCCTTCCTCAAAAAAAAAGAAAAAGAAACATCTCAAACAACCTAACCTACCACCTAAAAGAACTAGACGAAGAACAAACAAAACCTAAAGTCAGTAGAAGAAAGGAAACAATAAAGACCCAAGAGGAAATAAAATGGAGGTCAAAAAACAAAGTGAGTGCAGGATCCTGCCTTACCTAGAGCAAGAGAATATTTCTCTGCTCCTCAGGACTCATGTTCTTGTGATTTATCTCAGAAATCCAGGGTGTCCTCCAGGTTTGCAAGGCTAGTCATAGCTACATTCCTGCAGAAAAGAGCTCTGACAATCTGAGTTCTGAATCCCGTTGATGATGAGATGAGGTGAGATGAGATGAGATGAGATGAGATGAGATGAGATGAGATGAGATGAGATGAGATGAGATGAGATGAGATGAAAGATGATGAGAGCTCTGAGTCATCTCTTGTTGATGAGAGAGATGAGAGCTCCTCTGAGTCCTGTTCTCTGGCCAGTGCTACTCTGGTCCGCTCTGGAGGCTCGGTGATGACCTGCCAAGTGCAACCACGGAACTCTGTGGATTCACCCTGTGAACCAAGAAAGCAGGTGGAGGACAGCTCACCAAGCACCATCTCTCATCAGCAAGAGGAGAAATTGGGCAGAAAAGGACATCTCTCTTCTGCAGGCTTGGTTCTAACACACCCTAATCTTAAACTCAGTTATACTACTCCACTGGTTGTTGATACACACACATAGCAGTGTTCCCCTGGGATGTCCTCAATCCCAGGCTGGGGAGCCCAAGGAAGATTTCCAGTCTCAGATCCTTCCCATCTCCATCTTCGAATCATAGCCCTGAATCAGAGTCTAGGACTCCCCATGCCAAGGCCTCAGAAAAACTTACTTTCTTACATGTTAAAAAGGCACTGAACATGTAACTCCCCATGAATCCCACAACCTTAAATTCCATGGTCCTGTTTCTATGATCTTTTGTAATCCGAACTGTAGGCACTGAGGGGATCACATTGTTTCTTTTTTGGAACAAGAAACAAATACATCAGATCTGTATTTAACAAATGGTTATTTAATGACAGAATTCAATTTCAACTTCTCAAAAGTTAAAATACGATCTTAGTTGCCAAATAACCTGAGTTTCCAAAACCTAAACTTTGGTGAAATGCCACTTTTTCCTTTTTCATTTCCAGATAAAAATTATTCATTCCTTCAGCAAAGCTCATAAACCTGTTTCTCTGACTGTATCCCTGTTCTTGTGCTGGGGCTGTGGGAATGGAAGGAAAACAAGGTAAGGCTATCAACTTTCTCAAGCTCATATTCTGATAATAAAAATAAAACTGTCCCAGAAACACCCTTAATACTGGCATGTGGGCCAACCCTCCACACATCTGACTCCACCAGGAAAACACACTGATGCTTAAATACCTACTGAATGATGCCTATATCCCACCCCCAGCACAGAGGCACTCAAGACATCGGAAATCAGCGAATGAATGAATGAATGAATGAGTGACGCACATCGAAGAATCACCACCAAAGCCTTGTCAGCTCACACCGATCATGAAAACATCTTCATCAACTAAGGACCTGGAATTGAAAGATCACACATTTCATCTCCAGAAAGTCCTCAAATGGTAAAAACTAGCTTTGACTTTTAAGCTTAAGCTTCAGATTCAGCTGGAACCCAGCCCAACCCAGAAGCTTTAACTGGTGTGGATTTAAAGACGAGGTTTTCCTAAGAAATATTTAACACTTCTCTAATATTTCTTCTGAGTTTGCTTCAGTCATCTGATGAATCTAGCTACTGGAAAGAAATCATTTAACCCCTAGGCTTTGAAAACCAGCCAACAACATCAGCTTATATATCCATGTGTCTCTTTGGGGAAAACCCTGCCAGCAGCCTGAGGGTTAAGCGTAATCCTGTCATGTTTGCCCTGAACTTGCCCAGTTAAATTGCAACAGCATGGGTCTCCATAATTATCTAATCCTTAGTGTTGCGCCTTTACGTAATTTATGATGTAGCATTAAAGTCTGACCCTGAGTTTGAAATGAACTGCAGTTCTGCTGACATCCAAGCTCAAATTAGTAGGTAAGCACCCAATTAACGATTATGCTTCTGAGCTTTCATTTCCATCTGACCACACTGCTACGCTAATCAGTTTTCTAAGCCGTTCACCTTCCCCATAACTAACAAGCATTTCTGTTGCCTTTTATGTCTTTGGATACTCTGCATCCTCATAAAAAGCTCTCCACCATTGCTGTCTTCAAGACTGCTGCCCAAAACGACTGTCCGCGAATGAGCTGGCCGGTTCTGATGCACTTTGTTGGCAAAAACCAAAGGTCAGCTTGATGGGTTCCCATTTTCCTCCTCTGTAGAAGGACTGGGTTCCCTAGATGACTTCTGTTGGCTGCTGGAATCACTCAAGTGAAGGATGGCCCCCTGTGGACGTTTAGATCAAGGAGTTAGCAAATACTCTCAGGCAATGGACTTCACCAAAACCCCACCATCTATCTGAATACCTGGGGAAGGGGTGAGGGGGGACCAGAGAGCGATGATAGGAGAGGAAAAATCAGGCAATGTTCCCTTTTCCAACTTCACACCTCCTTCCCTCTTTGTTTCCCCACCCCCTGAACAACACTCCCCACTTCCTGTGCTCATCTGCACACCGTGTAAACAGCAGCAACTGAGCATAAAATATTAGAATATTTTTAGAGACTCGTGATATCATTACTTTGACTTCAGTACCTACACACAAAAAAGACAATCTATGTGAATGCTCAAATGAGTGTCTGTGCGGGGGAGTGATTTGCTAATTACCACGTATGAGTACAATCGCTGTCCTAGACCTGTGTCTCCTGTCTTCCCAACTGCTGTTTCTTCCTGGACCTCTGTCACTTGGCATTTTGATTCCTAGTTAGCTGAGCCACTGCTAGCCTCTCCTCCTAAAGTCAGAGAAGAACTGCTTACACCCCCTGCCAAACACAAAATCAGAACTGAATCTGGACTCTCCATAATTACTTTCCCTAATGTATGCCCTAATTATACACCTAAACTTGCCTTCCACTCCAGATTTATCAACTTTTGGACACAACACAGATATTTTCCTTTCCAACTCATGTAGAAAAGACATGAAGTCATCAAGAATTTTATCCAGCATGACTGCCTTTCAAACTTGAGTACCAGAAGCTTGTTCTCACTTTTCTGTTTCTAATCAAACTTACTCCTTATTCCAATATCAAATCTCATTATGAGGAGTGGGGAGAGGGATGAACAGGCAGAGAACACAGTGTTTAGGGCAGTGAAAATACTCTGTACTATGACACTGTAATGATGGATACAGATCACTTTACATTTGTACAAACCCACGGAATGTACTGCACTGAGAGAAAACTCTAAAGTAAATTATGGATTTGGGTGACTGGGACGTATCAGTGTAGGTTCATCAGTTGTAACAGTGTACTACTCTGGTGAGGGATGTTGATTATGAGGGGAGCTAAAGGAAATCAGTCCCGGGCGTTCATTGGAAGGACTGATGCTGAAGCTGAAACTCCAATACTTTGGCCACCTCATGCAAAGAGTTGACTCATTGGAAAAGACCCTGATGCTGGTAGGGATTGGGGGCAGGAGGAAAAGGGGACAACAGAGGATGAGATGGCTGGATGGCATCACTGACACGATGGGCATGAGTTTGAGTAAACTCTGGGAATAGGTGATGGACAGGGAGGCCTGGCATGCTGCGATTCATGGGGTTGTGAAGAGTCGGACACTACTGAGCGACTGAACTGAACTAAGTGTTCAGGGGGACAGAGGGTGGATGGGAAATCATTGTAACTTCCTCTCAACTTTGCTGTGAATCTTAAACTGCTCTTAAAATAATCTTAATTTTTTAAAATATCATTATCAAAAAGGGTAAAAATAGAGTTATTCTGATGAGAATGGAACTGAATCCTTCCACCAGCACCAGGGTGCCATTACCACACACTGGCACACACTGCTTGAAAGCCGTCATCCTAAGATAAACTATGTACAGAAGCTCACACAGATAAAGAAACCCAAGAAAAATTAAGCTTTGGTTTGATCAGTGCTTCCTTTCCTTCCTAGCTGGCCAAAGTGGTTTCATATTCACGAATTACAAAATTTATTTTCATTTATCTTTTGAGAGAAGAAAAGATGAAAGAAGACATCCATGTTCTCATTTTACGAGCGCTCCGAGACAGAACTGGCTCAGTTGGAAAGCTGGAATGGGAACTGGATGCTCTGGCCCCTCTTCTTTCCTCTGGACCAGTGCCCCACCTTACGTGCTCATATCACATTGACAAGCATCACAACACACAGACACTCAAGAGGTATTCTTGTGGGGACAGTGAGGATGATAATGGTGAGAGCAAGGAAAATTGAGTTGAAAGTGGGTTGAAAAGATTTCCTAATAACACTGTATTTGAGAAGCATATTGGATAGCTGACTTACTATGGAAAAAGTCCCGAGGTTCTGGACTTCTAATTCAATTTGACTCTTCCATATGCAAACTAGTAAAGAGGAGCTCTTATCAAGCCCAGTGAGATAAGAATGATGAGACAACTTTATCTTTGCACAGAATTGTTTATGGCATGCAGATACCTATGCGTGTGAAATAAATAAGTCAAGCTCCTTCCAAAGTTAGTGGTGAGTGAATGTAGATAACACGCAGCTCTGAAAGAACGACTGCAGAGTAGTGGCCCCTGACCCTGGACATTGCCAAAAGGATGGTGCTTATACAAGAAAACCACAGAAAGCCTCATGAGATGATGGAGCTTGGAGAGAGCAAACAGATTGAAAGGAAGCCCCTGACCAGGGGGAGGGGAGGGGTGAAGTGATATTTTCAGTGGAAGTTCCCTCCTGTCACTAGTCCTACTTGAGTTGCATACATACACACTTCAGATTCTTTAGGGAAAGTCTACATTATTCACTGGACAGAGATTTGTGGAAGAAATAAACAAACTGAAACTCCGAATTAGCCATCACAGGCTCCCTGCTTTTGGAAGGCAAAGTGTTCCTTGAGAACTTTTGCAAGCCTCAATGGCATAAAGCAAAGAAGCAAGTACCTTAGATCTCATCTTGCTAAAGGATGCACAGAATGAATCGAGAGCCAGCCCAGATGGTCGGAGACACAGTTCAAAGCTATGGGGGCTTGATGATGAGCTGCCAACTGTGGTTCTCAGGGAAGGAGGCTGATGGGGCTGCTCCCACGGCTTACGGTGTGTGGTGCCTCTATAATTGCTGCTGCAAAACAAGCGCTGAGCCCTATTTTCACCTTTCTGTAAATAAAAATCCTCTTCAGATTCCTTTCAGTTAGCATACACTAGTATTAATGCAGACTTTCATAAAAGTGAAGTGACATAAAGCAGGGGATACCTGTACTAAGAAATCAAGAGCTTTTGAACTAGAAAGCTCTAGATTCAAAACCAACTACCCACATACTAACAGAACCTAGCCAAGTAATTTAACCTCTCCAAGATGCCAGGTTCTCATCTGTGAGGTAGAAATACTAACACTCATTTCCTTGCATAATTTGAGGATTAGATGAGACCACACAGAAAATGCATGTGAAACTCAGAGGACAAAGCAGAGGACAATAGCAAAGGCTATTTCCTCTCTTTCTGCTCAAAAGATCTCAGATCAATGATTTGCAGCTCTCAGCCCCACAATTTAAAGTAGTTTATTAAAAAATAACCTCAAGCCTTGCACTCACTGAGTTGCCAACCTAGGAGTTATAGCTAAATCTCCATAAAGCCCAGACAGTGGAGTAAAAAGTGGAGACATCTCTATCTGGCCAACAAAGGTCCATCTAGTCAAAGCGATGGCTTTTCCTGTAGTCATGTACAGATGTGAGAGCTGGACCATAAAGAAGACTGAGCGCTGAAGGAATTGACGCTTTCGAATTGTGGTGCTAGAGAGGACTCTTGAGAGTCCCGTGGACTGGAAGGAGATCCAACCACTCAATCCTAAAGGAAATCAACCCTGAATATTCATTGGAAGGACTGATGCTGAAGCTGAAACTCCAATACTTTGGCCACCTGATGCAAAGAACTGACTCACTGGAAAAGACCCTGATGCGGGGAAGGATGGGAGGCCAAAGGAGGAGGGGGTGGCAGAGGATGAGATGTTTAGATAGCATCACTGACTCGATGGACACGAATTTCAGTGAACTCTGGGAGACAGCGGAGGACAGAGAAGCCTAGCATGCTGCAGTCTGTGGGGTCGCAAAGAGTTGAACATGACAACTCCATAAAACTAAAAATAACCCATTTTTCCTGATTGGGAAGGTGACTACACTGCTAATTCTTAAAGGCAGAGGACAAAAAACATGGATCAACCTCCCAACTTTCAATTATAATGGGAGCCAAGATGCAGTGATTGCATTTACCCTAGAGGATGCATGCCAAAGGCAGTGGCAGGCAGAAACAACAGTCTGTATTCCATCAATACAGCGTAATTCTGCCAGAGTCTTTCCGTCTCAGCAGCCTTCCTCATTGTACAGAATGTACAGAGAGCTCATCACAGTTTAACTTAGATTGCCCTAAAGCCTGAAGCTAACAAGGAGATTTGTACTTATGAGGACAGAGACTCTCCCAACAACTTTGCAATAATCCGCCTGTCACAGAGCAAGACTCTGTGCAGCCTTCTTAGGACAGACTTCCCATGTCCTCCACCTGTCTCTTGTTTGCAGAAAAACTTTAGCCTCTCTGAGTTCCACAGAAGAGATTTAATCAGAGAAGTGATAACATGTATAATTAAAAGAAAACAGTCAAGCAAGACAAAATAATACTAGTAAAGACATTAAATAAAACCAAGGGCTTATAGTTTATCCTCAAGGGTTATATATATATAAAATATCCTAAGCCATATCCTGTGAGCTATTTTGAAGATACTAAAACTCCCCCACAAGGTGGAAGAAGTTAACTGTATGTTGACCACAAGAAGGTAGACCCCCAGACAGCTGGGAACAAGAAGGTTGATGATATTGATTCCCAGTTGCCTCACCACCAACCAATCAGAAGAAGGTCCATGAGTTGATCATATACCCTTTAACCCTCTCCCTCATCCTGTCTTTTAAAAAACCTTTCTTTGAAAGCTTGGTGCCCTACAATAAGCACTACAATTTTCACCACAATTCAGTCAATAGGTTGGCTTTACCACATGTAAGTTTGCTTTGGTGACAACCCCAGACGTTAACCCACAGCACATCATCCAGGTGTCACTGGGGGTTTGACCCAAGAAGCAAGACCACTATAAGGTGTTTAGAATAGTATAAGTGTTGATAAAATTAGACCTAGAGCTTAGAGGAGAGTCTATACAAGGTGATTCCCTCTGGTGTTGTTGCTGAACTCGCCACTGTTGAGTCAGCCAGCGGGTGGTCTTGCAGGGAAGCTGTGTGTGATCTGGGAGAGGGCAGTGAAAGGCTAGACCCACGTGCATAAGCTGGAAGCCACAGACACACTCTGGACCTCCCGCATCATCTGACCACCTAAAATTCACAGTGGCCCAAAGGAAGAGCGGGCATCCTCTGCCACTGAGGTGCGCCCAGGAGAGACTCGATGGGAGCCAGTGGAGCCGGCAGTCCAGGGTCTTCCTGAGCCTGGAAGGTGAGGCGGCACCGG